TAGGGTTAGGGTTAGGGTTAGGGTTAGGGTTAGGTTTAGGTTTACGCGTTAATTTTAGCTTTACCGCTCACAGCGTGCTTTTTTCATCGCGCTGTGATGACTTCAGGTACGCGGTTTCATCGAGCGCGCTTTAGTCTACCGTGGTTTTGTGGTGGAACCGATATAGACATGGCATTGAACAGCCTTCCCATAATTTGCATATTTCTTCTTTTTTGCAGTCTAATTGTACAAAGGTGAAGGAATTCATCACTTCTAAATTAAATCCCTACATCACCAATGTAACCAAAGCTGCGGAGGTATGCAGCCAGCATCTGTGCAGGAATAATGGAAGGTGCATACGAAGAAATTGGAAAGCTTTGGATTATCTTCATTTAAATCCTCAGAATTTTCAAATCAAAGCTTCAAAGAATGGAGTTACTGTGAGAGGGGTAGCATCTTCAACTGACCTTCAAACAATGTCTGAGAAATTCACTTGCCATTGTTATCAAGGATTTGAAGGAGCTGATTGCAGGGAAATCAAGACTTTTGGCTGGCAACCAGGACACTCTGTCAGTTTAATCTCATCCAGAATAGTAATTATGATTAACTTGGTTTCCTTCATCTTTTTAATTGTTGAGATTTCTTTTTGACAATGGCAAAGTAGTAATTCCCCGTAAGATCTGTTGTTCCAGAAGAGCAATAGAAATATAAAGACAGTTATCCTATGAATTCTTATTTCGATGCATGAGGTTGTAGACACACATAAAACCATAGTTTAACTCACCTTGATACAGGGATCTTGGCGTGCAACAGGCAAACTTCTGCATTGGTTTATGTTACTTGTATAATGGTGTCACTAAATAATTTGCATCATACTTGACATAGTGATGCAAATAACATCGCTATGCTAATGATAGAATCTCTGCAATTACATCCTTTAATATTTAATGGATGTTCCCTAGAATAACACACCCCCCTCTCCACTCCTTTCAATCTATTACAATGAGAATGTCCTTCTATAGGAGACAACTTGAAACTAATGCATGCAGTATTTTGCTTCTGCAAGCTAGCTTTTTGGTGCTTTCCTACTAATGCAAACATGTAAACATTGGCAGCTGCATTTTGTGCAACCCGGTTTTATTCCAATGTCACAGCTGCCAAAAGGAGCAGCAGTGAAGTCTCAAGCACCGTTTCATACAATCATCAGTTTTGCTCCACTCTTATTCTAAGCCAGGGGTATCAACATGCTGGCCCCACCCCCACCCAGTTTAGCGAAGGGGGTGGGAATTCCAATACATCACATGACAATGCCATGACGACGACATGAGTTTGACACCCTTGCTCTAAGCATTACTTTTGCAATAAAAAGTAAGTGTAGTCATCATCCTCTCTTTAATCTGACCAACAATTCTTCCAGCTGGCCAAGAGGACAATGCTCAAAAAGGTAGTTTATTTTATTGGGAAGAGAAGCACTTCAACAAGGTGCTAGAATTCACCTGCAATGAAGTAATATGTTGCTTAGTCAGATACATGCTTACCTACACCACATTGCGGGTAGCCAAGTATCATTTATAGGAAGTAGTGTCAAAATACAAGGCAATCCCCTTGGTGTGACAAGCACATGACCATGGTGCTTTATAAAAATAGAATGAAAAAGGTAGACTTCATTGGCCATTTCCAAATAAGGTGACTCTTTTCTGAATTATGAAACCAATGCTTCCTTTTTTGTTCATTTCATTTTAATTTGATCTCCAGATACCTACACAGATGAGGCAACTAAAAGGAGAGCAAATACTTCAGTGTTAATTCCAGGTGAGGCATTTGTCCCGAGTCAAGAATGTCTAAAGCAAATGGCAGAATAAAGATATCATCTCAATTGCCAATGCCTTTTTATCCATCCAATGGGATTGGGTTTGTCCAATCCCGTTCTCAGTGCAAACATTTGAGCTGATTTTCAGCTAAGCTAAGATTCTGCTAATGTTCCCATCACTTGTAGGTTTCTAGGTTTCTAGGCTTCTAGAATTTAGAAGAAGCTCCTAAGAATCAACTCCCAGAATTCTCCAGCCAGCAGAGTTGAACTCCACAAGTCTTAAAGTTGCCAAGTTTGAAGATCTCTAATCTAAGATATGTAAGAAGTAAGGTGCAATTATTAGAAAGGGAAGTGGTAGCACCTTGGGCGGGGGAGAGTAGGTATGATTATTTGTTGCTTTTGATTGGTTGAACAGTCAGCCAGATATTTAGACCTAATAAGTCCTTCCCAAGGACCTGGGATAGGCAGACGTTGTTGTTTTACGGAGTAACAGTTATTGAATGATGGATTAATGAAGTCTTAAGTTTAAAGAGCAAAATGGATGCCTTAAACCTTGCAGATACACACTTCTGGTTTAAAGCATGAAACCTCTATGCACCTCTGAGACTCATGATCAGTTTAATTAATGGATTAATTAACTAAAGCTTAATAATGACAGGCAATTATTATACCTTTGTATTATGAATTAGCATTATTATTTGATGGGAATGAAATGGATTAGTGCGAGTAAGGAAATTATAATAAACCTTGGTTCAATTGACTGAAGGAGGCAGTTGGTAATTAGTAATTAGTAATTAGTAAAAGATCATTATCATGTTACAACAGGACACCTAAGCCAAGCATTTTTATTTATTTATTTACCAGGAAGTAGGAAAGCTTTTCTGTAAGAAATTAGATCAACCCTTCCCAAATGAGGAAAGTGAAACAGTTGTTTCAGTACCCATGTGGATCTAATGATATATAGTGCTGTTCTGCACTTGGCAGCATTACTTTACTCTATTTTATCAAGAGGATAGAACACAAAAGACAAAGTCTTTTCCTGCTAAATAACACTCATTAGCATAACAAGCACGAAATATAAGCAGTTACTTTTACAGGTCCAGGTAAATGTATGAAGAAGACATAACTGCAAAAAAAAAAAAAGCTATCACATACATTATAAATAATAGTACAAAACCAAGAAAAGAATATAATATTACATTGCATATATTGCACACATTTTTAAATTCCATAGTCATAGTATTGTATTATTTTTATTGAATAACACAATAGTTCAATAAAAACGAGGGCATGTATTAGCCATACTGTTAAAATATAGAGCCTTTCCTCACTTGTGCCCAGTCACAGCACAAACATACCTTGGCAGAATCTTCTTTTTTCCTATGTCCCCAGGATGTTACCTTTACTTCATTGCTAGCCCATGAGTGAGACTAGCTTAAGTCATTCTTAGCTGTAGTAGCATTCAAATAATATGTTTCTCCTTATTCCAACATGACTGTAGGGCACAAACAACCAGATCTCATATGTAAAGAGTTTGAAAGTAGCTACTTT